CCTGGCACCTGCTCTGGGCCTAGCCCCGGCCAACTGGCGGGGCTGACTGAGGGCCTGTCTGAGCCAGGCACTGTGCTGGCTTCCTTGCCCCAGAGGAGTCACCCAGGATTGCTCTTCAAGGGGCTCCATCTAGATGGGAAGGGTGACACCTGCCCAGAGGGCTGCAGAGGGGGCAGCATTTGGGGTGAGCTGCATCGGATGAGGCCGGCTAGGACTTCTGCAGAGGGCTCGGGGAGCCTTTGGGACGAGCAGGCTGAAGCCAGGCACGGGAGTGGGGAGGGGTGGGGTGGGGGTGGGGGGTGTCTGGGCCTTCCAGCCGGGGATGCGCCTGGGAGAAGGGGCAGCGGAGGGGGAGTGAGCCGATGAGTCCAGGAAAGTCAGCATGGTAGGCGGCTGGGGTGTGACTGCTGTGGGGAGGACACAGGAAGGCGAACAGGGCTCAGAGCCTGAACGAATGCCAGGCTTAGGAGATGGACTAGACCTTACAGGCCGGGGGAAGTGGCTGGGGGGGCCTTTGGGGCGTGTGGCATTGGGGCTGTGTGGAGATGGGCTGGGGACACTAGGGAGAGGATCCTGAACCAGAGCAGCATGCGAGGGAGGTGCCAGGGCCAGGAGACACCAGCTGAGTGTGAGCAGTAAAGGGCACAGAGAGGGCTGATCTGTGGCTGGAGGCTGTGGTGGCGGTGCTGTCCCTGGGTGGGGTGTGGCTACATAAAGCTAAAGCTCCCTACCTATTATAACTCTCATTGCCACCATCTGGGTGGGTGTTTGGTATCTGTCCTGCAGGACTGCTATTTCTGGGGGCCAAGACTGAGCAGGGTTGTTCTGTGTCCAGCCCCAAAAGCCTGTCTGGCCCGGCCTGGGATGGGCAGGGGAGGCCTGGGTTGGGAAGTCCTTTCACACTCTTCCATCCTAGGAAGGCAGGTCAGATGGGCTCGTCTAACTAGCTGTCCTGTGCCTGTGGGAGGGACAGGGCAAAGGGGCAGGAAGGAAGAGAAATGGTGGGACACAGAGGAGTCTCTCTCCAAATCCCCGGGGGGACACAGAGGGACTCCAGTGAGAATCACAGCCCCTTAGGACAGCAGTAAACAGGTGGGGACAGCAGGGAGTGTGGCCTCTGGGGTTCCCATGGACCCCTCATGGGGCTGCTGTGAGAAGGGACAGCCAGCACGGGGTACCCAGCATCGCTCTGCGCATGATGGATCCTGGCAAGAGGGAAGTGCTGTACAAACGGAGTTCCTGGGCTAATGCCAGGGGTCCCTGTCCAAGGTGCGGGGAGACTGCTGCCCTGGTCTGGGAGACGAAAGCAGAGGTCTCACACCAGGCTCCCAGCGGTCCTGAGCAAGCATCAAACCCCACTGCATCTCAGCTTCCTCCTGTGTCAAACGTGACTGTAATTCCCACCCAAGACTACAGAGAGGGTCAGGCAGGAGGGCAGGGTTGGGCTGTACAATGCCAGCTCCTTGGAATTTGGGCAAACAGGAGGGCAGGGCTATGGGGCTGTACAACACTAGCTCCGGGGAATTTCCAAACAACTTCAGAAAAATGGGGTGGAGGACACGGCTCCATCACACCCAAAAGGGCTGGGTCAGATTCTCCAGAAAGCTTCCACCTTTCCATTCAGAAATGAATACTCCGCAGAGTTCGGACCAGGCAAGGGGGCAGCCATGGATGCGCCCTGCTTTACAAGGAGGAGCAGGGACGCAGAGAGGAACTGCCACAAAGCTCTTAAGTGGGCTTCCTTGTGACCCTGACCCTCCCCGGAGCCTGCTATCCTCTGGGGGGCTGAGCCCTGATCGGCCACCACCGCCCCCACCTGGCGGGCATAGGGTGGCCCCGGGGCCAGCGGGCCGCGGGGGAAGGGCATGACGGGGCAACTCGGGCGGGCGGGCACAACGGTGCTGGAGGCCCTGGGAGGGGGCGCCCACCTGCCACCACCGGGCCCCCCGCCTACGCTTGCTGTGCCCCCTGCCACCACCGGGCCCCCAGCCTACGGTTGCTGTGCCTCTCCGGCCTGTTTCCTCTCGCAACAGATGTGGGGTGGGTTGCGGGGAGGCTCGTGCACCCGAGCGTGCTTGGAAGCGCGGTGCCCAGGATCGCCAGGGCGGCAGCTATGAGGCCGAGGGGGCGCACACCCTCCTAGGGAGACTCGACCCGGCCGGCCAGGGTCTCGATAGGAGTCGCGAAGCGGAGCGACTCTCAGTCCTTCAACTTCTAGGGAACTTGCGGAAGACTTTGGACCCTGCTACCCATCAGCTCAAAGGGGGAAACTGAGGCCCGAGGCGGACGCCCCCCAGCCCCTGCACTCTCGGGTCTCTTCCCAGCCTGCGCGCAGCCATAGCTGTGGTCCCCTACCTCGAAGTACTCACCAGCCCGCGAGAGGACGCACGCGGCGCCGCGACGTCCGCGGGCCTCCAGTCGGCCGCAAAGTTGCTCGGGAGCAGCTGGACGAAGCGAGGCGGGGAGAACAGGGAACCGGGTGGATCCAGAGGCGCGGGCTGCTTCGGGAGCCGGCAAGAGCGGCCCTCAGCGTTAGAGCGGCGGGGCGGGGCGGGGC